GGGGGGTCTAATGGGATGGGGGTGGGTGTTCAAACTCACGTCGGGTGGGCGTTGTGGAGTGGCGATACTCCTCGCCACCAGTGGCCGGGCGGGTGTCGTGGTGTATCGACAGATGGCGGTCACCCCTTTCAATGTGTAAAGTCTGTAATGTCATTCTCTATCAAACTGCCACAGGTATATAAGTTTCTTCGAGCTATACATAGAGTACGACCCCTTCTTCACTCCGCCGGAAGTGCAAAACCCGTGGTTGTCGGACAGCGCGGAGTTCTGGGAGTACGAGAAGCAAGTGTGAGTGCCGCGTCGATGGAACTTGAATAATAAGCCCCCGCCGATTCCCAGTCGTTCGATCCAATGAGAGCCGAATTTTCTTTGTTCAGTAAGGACGTGTCGGCACGCAGAGTGAAACGGTGGGCTTTCAGTCTAAAAGAGCTCCTCGCCGACCCCGCGGGGCGGGAACACTTCAGTAAGTTTCTCGAAAAGGAGTTCAGCGGCGAAAACCTCAAGTGAGTACCAAGAGAGAGGCGTAAAGAGGGGTACTCAAACGCGGTTCCAAACCTAACGAATGTCTATGCTTGCCCAGGTTCTGGGAGGCGGTGCAGAAGCTCAAGACACTGCCCCAGCAGGAGGTGCCCGACGAAGCCAAGAGGATGTGGGACGAGTTCCTAGGCCCCGACGCTAGCATCCCGATCAACGTCGACGGCAAGTCCTTCGAGGCCACCAAGAAAAACGTCGAGGAGAACCCGGACCGCTGGTGTTACGACGAGGCAGCGGTAAGGACACAGCGGCAACCCTCCCACTAACTATTCCGAAAAAGAAAAAAAAAACGCGTGTGGGTAAAGACAAACGGATTAACGTCTGTTCCAGGCCCATGTTTACCACCTCATGAAAACCGACAGTTACTCACGATACGTGAGATCCCCGATGTACACAGAATTCCTGAGCGGATCCAAGAAAAAGGTACGTAGGTACGTGCGACACAGCTGACACAATCCAATAATTTGATTCACTCGATTTGTTTCGTTCTGTCATATGGTATGCCCGGCGAACAAGGGAAACACACACAGACCACGGCTTGCCAACAGCTGCATGCGCCAGCCGGTTGATTCCATAATAGGGATTTTTGAAGTCACCACCACCTCTGCTGAAAAACCAAATCTCTCTATTCATTAACGATTAGTAAAAGTCATAAGCACAAGCAGCCCGAATAATTTCGTAAATATTAAATAAGGTAGCATTATCAGCTAAAGGTGGTGGAACACGCCAAAAATCTCTCTTTCGAACAAGGTCAAAGGTCAAAGTTTTTGGTAAAGTACAACATCACACCCTAAATTATCAGACGTAGACGTTTGGGCTTCTGCAATATAAACATGTGCAATGCGTAGTTCGGGTGTAAATGTTAGCGGATAGTCTCGTGTTGTTGTTTGTTTTTAAAATTCCCAAAGCCGTGCCTCAACCGTTCAAGTGTAACAGCTCACCGCTCAGAACCTGTTCGGTCTTGAGTTACGTTCCGCTTTCACGATCTGCACATATTTTCAATGTGATAGTTTCACATTATTTCTTAGTGCCTGATATTTTCGAACCAGCAGTGCCAAACACTGAAACACGACATGCCAAACACGACTTGTAACACTATTGTGTACCTTATTGTTATTTGTAACACCGTAGCTTAGGAATGAGGGGAAGCGATTGGATTCACGTGTTTCTCACTACCACCGAGTTAAGCCACTTTTACTAACAGTTATATTTTATGCTTTACAATTCTGTAGAATCACATAGTACCCTCCACATGCAATGTTACAAAGTCAGATGAGCCGTATATATTATATTCGCTTTTGAAGTGTTATAGCACAGACATAGTTCAAAATCTGGTGTAATGGTAGCATTGGCTGCATGGATGTGTCTTTTTCTCTCTTTTTTGTATCGTGCAATGTCAGCCCACTCCACCTTCCTGTTTGATTGCAGCAGCGGCCACCCTCCACCCCCCTCCCCAAACTGTAAATCTGATTATGTATTTAATATACTATACTACCAGGTGGCTGATTCACGCAACGCACTTTCTTAGGTTTACTGTACCGCATGCACGGTGCGGGCGGGTTTGCCTATGCTCGCTGCCCACGGCTCCTTATGGCTCCGTGCGAGTAGGCAACCCACCCGCACGCGTGTATGCGGTACAGTATTACTACGAAAGTGCGCGGCGTGAGGCAGCCACCTGGTGCAGGGTGCCCCATCGGCTCCGTACATGCTGTTTTAGTTAAACTGTACCACGTGCTTGCGTGCGGGCGGGTTGCAATGCTCGCTCAGGGCAGGGCCATAGGGTAGGTAGGCAACCCGTTCGCACGCACGCATGCGTGTGGGCGGGCTGCCTACTCGCCCGGAGCCATTAGGTATGCAATCCCTTCCGCACGCATGCGTGAGGTACAGTATATAGCCACATAGGAGGAAGCCTTCTTAGAAGGTGACTTCCGGCCGTACTGTATTTACATACGCTGATAGATTTTTGCGATTTTACGATTCAATTTTTCCAGCGACTGGTGCAGCACAAGTTAGCTTTCCCGCTCTTCCCACTGCATGTCCCCTCGCGCTCACGCCCTCCTCTGTTTTCCAGACGTCGGTGAAGGGCATCCGCTCCATCGTGTCGTTCTCCGGTCGCAAGGAGGCGGGTGCCACGTAGAACCATGCAGCACCGGGAGCTTGTGAGGCTGAGCGTTAAGCCTTCCAAACCCAACTTGCATATTATGTGGCCGCCCTGCCCGCGGGCTCGCTGGCGAGGCGAGGCAGGGTGGCGGCGGCGGCGGCGGTCAGCGGGTGCGCGCTCTATAAGCGCCACGCACCAGACGCACCCTGCAGCTCACGCCTGCCTGAATTGATGTTGTTGTCGTAGTAAACGCACACCGTTACGGGTGGCGGTTGTTGTTGTTGTTCCTGATGATGCATTCTGCATGCGTCACCACTTGCTGGAGGCAGTGAGGCGGTTTTCTCGGAAAAAAGAACAGAGAGTAGGAAGAGGGCAGTGATTCCGCTGTCGCGGAAGGACCAGAACGATCTCAAGAATGTCGCTTTACATCACTCTATAGCGCGGCAAATCGCGCGGTAAATCAAATGGACAGAACTAACAGAGGCAAGAAGAAGAAAGGTAAACCTACAGCACCGTTACCCCCCCCCCCTCCTCTCCCTCGCTCCTGCTCCCCTTCCTCATAACCCATCAACGTAATCGTTGGCGTTCGATTCTCTCTCCCACCTCCCACCTGCAGAAAACGAACCTTCAAACTTTGCTGGACGCGATAAAAAAACAACAAAAAAACATTCCGAATTGCCATTTCTTTCTGCTCCTTGAACTCTTTAGTTCGATGGTACATATCGTCCACGTGTAGTTTCTATCGATAACGAAATATGTTCAAGTGTGATATTTTTGCGGAGTCGAACATGTGAAAATTAATTTGTATTGAACGGAGCGCATCTCGTGGTGTTCAACGTGTAATACACATAGTGAAAGCATAGAGTGAGTTGTTAAATAATGTGCCATCATTTTTTTAAATTCCTCCCTTTACGCTGTGTCTCGTGTGAGCCAGTAGTCCTAGCGGCCGCTCTTTCATCTGTGTCGTAGCTGCTGCTTAATTTGTTAACCAAAAGGGAAACTAGTGTCATCTGTCAACAGGCGATTTTTTGTGAGAATCGAACCGGCGGTTTTTAAAAGAGACATGAAAATGAAGGCGCGATGCAATATGTTGTAACCATGAACAGTGCGGGATCGGACGGAGACCGGCAGGCCCCCTATGTAAGGCCTTCTCCACTGTTGTAACGGTCCCGCAGTCGGTGGTCAAAACGGCACCGATTTCGCGACGTCGTTCCGGTGAAAGGAAAAAAAAATCGTTGATTGGACATCGCATCGACATCGTTGTGACCACAAATATTGTTTCTCACTGGAGATGGTAGTGCCTTCCCTACTACCTGTAGATTGGATATCGATTTTTTAATAACAATAACAATAATAAAGCATAATTTTTGTACCATAAAGCAAAGCGCGCCGTCTCTTTCCACGCCTCATTTATTACGATACAACACACCTCACCTTACCTGAACCCATCGCAATAACAGTAATGACCAGCAACAACCAGGAGGCGGCAACAAACAACAACAGAAGCAGCAGCAGCAGCGACCCCCAAGGTTGGAACTAAAAGGTGAGCGCGGCAGGGTGGGTGCGGCAGGCTCCTCACTCAGGTGAACAACAGTTCGGACATGTTGGCGGAAGGGGGCTGTCGGCGTGGCGAATGGCGGTGTAAGCGTGCCGTCCGGGGGTCGCGCGCCAAACACTGCACCATACCGTGATGCACCCCCTCCCACGCGCCCATGCGGCTCCTGTACCGGGCCCTTCTTGGACCGGCCGGTGCAACAGCGCCGTGGACAATGGCGTCATTGTACTTGCAGGCCAACGGCCAGCGCGGGCTAGCCGGTGAATCAGTGCAGCTCGCAGCGAATAGAACGCTGGCCGCGCCATCAAACAGTGCGAGTTCGACGACCCCCGCGCCGGTATACCTGTGGCACGCGACGACGACGCGCCGCCACGCGACTCCGGGGGACTCGCCGTCGTCGTCGTCGTCGAGGCGCGCGTCACGCCTGTTACCCCGGCGTGAACCGCTGCCGGGATAGGACGTGCACGAGGGTCGCCGTCGTCGGCATAGGGGACACAGGCGCGCGCGCGCGCAGCGGACGTATGGCGCCTGGAACAGCGGCAACCAAGCAGGCGCCCTCGTCCCAATGGTGGCGGACCCCCGACCCGCGACCGGACGGGACGAGACGACGACGACGGGGTGGTCTTGAGAAAATAAAAAGCGCGCACATCGAAGCCAACCGGTCTGATTCATGGCCAAGGCTTTGCGTTTGGTGCCCCGGACAGCCGCCGCCGCGGGAGGTCACTCTCGGCGAGGAGCAGGCTGCATCTGCGACGCGACGGACGGCCCCTCCTGCTCCGCGCCGCGCGTCTCCACCTGGCGCGGGGACCCCGCCGACAGTCGACACCGCGGAAACGCGCGCGCGCGCACCGCCCTCACGCGCACCAAGTGTGCTCTCACAGCGGGGGCGGCGTGCTTCGTGACCTTGACCTTGGTGTGACGTCACCGACGTGCGTGAGGGCGTGCGTGCGTGCGAGCGCGCGCGCACTCCTCTGTGTGAGTGCGTGTGTTATGTCCAGCAGGACTAAAACTTGTCCCCGCCGGACAGAGGTGCGCGGCGGGTGGGGCGGGGGCGCGGTGGTCCGGTTTGGTCGCGCCGTGCCCGTCCCGCATCCCCAGACCGGCTTGACCTGGCCGTCCTGCCCAGCCGGCTTCCCGCGCTCTTATGGGCCGGAGGGGGACCGGATCTCAACCTGCCCGACGACAGTCCTCCTCGCGTAGCGTCCGGTCGGAGCGGCCCAAGCGCCACTTCCCACGCAGCGCAGCCTGCCCAGCCCCCCTCTCGGGGGTGATGGGGGGAAGTCATAAAAAGACAACATGTAATCGCGGGCCACGGTGGAGGGAGAGAAGGTGGCGGCACGAGGGGTCTGCTCGTGGGTCCAGAATCTCGACAGGTTGGGGGATTAACGTCCTAGTCGGGGCCAACTATAGGGCCTGTTCACACTACCTTCAGTCGGGGCCGCCGTGCAGGTAGGTAGGTGGGAAGCCCAGACTCAGCTTGCGCGGGACGGGCTCGTACCTGACTTCTCTCTCGCACACTCCGGCCGGGTGAGCCGGGCGAGGGTCGGTGCCGCTCAAGCTAAGTCGGGGCGGCCCAGCTACCTGCATAGGCCGCCCCGACTGCAGGTACTCTGTACCGGCACGTTAGATAGCCCCGACTCGGCCGTTAATCCCCCAACCTGTCGAGATTCTGGACCCACGGGTCCCTATGCTGGGAGACCCTCGTGCCGCCACCTTCTCTCTCTCCACCGTGTCGCGGGCAAAGTAATGCACAGCCAGTACGGAGCGGAGGGAATTTCCTTCACCTTCGCAAGTGACCCGGCGGTGGGGCGGACATAACCCTCGCCCAAGCCCTGCCGCACACCCTCCATCACTTCCTCCCGCCCGGTGGAAGGGGGGTCACTGGAGGGGGTCGTCTGCTTCCTGGAAAAACAAACGGTGACGACGGCGAAAATAAGTCGCAGTGGAGTGTGGAACCCGACCCGAGATGAGCTCGGCCGCCGCGGCCGGAGAGGCCGTGAGCCATGACTTATGTGCGAGTCCTGGAGACGCCTCTTTAGCTCGGGCGTCACCGCGCCGGTATTCTGAAAAATGAGCGACATTCAGGGTAGGAAATTATCGGGTACATTTGCCAATGATGTTCTTTGATGCGTAGACGCGACGCCGCCGTAACGTGCGTCTTCTTTAACGGCCCTCCCCTTCCCTTCCCTTTTGAAGCGCCTCTTTCGTGCCCGTGCATCTACTGGCCGCGAAGTGGGCGGGGAACGACGCGCGACTTTGTTTTGGATGAAGCAACCGCGCCAGTCACTTGCACACATGACATTTCTATAATTTCCATCTGTTGGCTTAGGCCCGCCTTGACGCCGCCGCCCCGCGACCGCCAAGCCACACATTACTTATCACCGCCGAATGTATTTATACAGCCATGTTGTCCGCCGGGGTTGGTTGCGAGACCCGCTCAAAAAGCCAAGTGCGCGCGAGCGCGTATAAGACTTTTTGATAAGCGCTCTTTACGCGAGGCAAAGGCGTCCGATTGATAACGTGTTGGCAGAGCGGGGAGGGAGGAGGGGGGGGGGGGCGCCTAGCCTCCAGCACCAGCACCGCGACAGGACGGACTGGACGCGCCGCGATACCTATGGCTGTGCGGCACGTCCTCACGAATTTTTCATCGATGAGGAGAGGCCAGAGAGGAGACGACGGGTAGAAGGAAGGGGCGGAGGGGCGTTCGTGTTCGTGACAGCAGTCCGCACCGCCTCTCCTCTCTGCTCTGCTCGCTCACACCGGTTCTTACGTCCATTACCGATTCGGGTTTGGGTGCCCCGCCCTG